AGATTATACAGACGTCCGTGTGCCAAAAAGGTGCTGACGGCCGGTGGCGGGAAGCTTTTGTCAGTTGGCCTCAAGGTGCGGCATTTTCAGGATGTGTCGTCGTCGTTTTGTCTGCACGTCCGCACCTACGACCATTCGGAATCCTTGCTCGTCCTTGTTAGAGCGTATGCTTCTCTGTGTGTGTGGTGCCTTTGACTTGCTCCCAACGCTCGTCAACGCTTTGCGTTTAATGCTTTTTCTTGCGGCTGTCGGAACAGACAAACAGACACAAACACAGACAAAGCGACAGGCAGACAGAGGACAGACAGGAAGACAGTAAGGCTACCACCTTGCCGCCATTGCTTTTTATTGTTTTATGTGTGCCGCTGAAGCTAACACCGACACCGACACCACCACCGCCACCACCACTGGAAGCACCTTACCCAACTTTCCGCCTTCAGCTGGAAAATGTACGATGCCTCGCACATCATCGCGTGCTTTGTGCGCTTTCAACGCAAAGCAACACTCTGCTCTGCTCTGCTCTGCTCATCTCATCTCATCTCAGCTCAGCCCTACTCCATGCAAGAAAAAGGTGAGTAAGCACCATGAAATCTTTTACAATAAGCATCGTCGTCGTTGCCGACAAGAAAGCAATTTTGTAGCCAAAAAAAAAAAAAAAAAAAAAACGAATCAACAGAAGAGGAAGAAAATGAAGCAGCGAACCCATAATGCCTCAAATCATTTTCATTTCTTGTAGTGTGCGCTTGTCTGCACTGAGCTGCTCAAGTTGACGATGTCCTCGGTGCCGTCAGGAACTCCTTTACGAGCAGTTCCTTCAGTTAGCACCATCGTTGTCTTAGCTTATTTGTTGCTCTATTTACGCGCTCGTTTGGGATTCTGTGGGCGTTTTTTCTGCCGACCATCAGCATCAGCATGGCACTCAAAGCGCTTAAGCTGCTTCTCAGCTCAGACTTTGAGACTCGGGCGATATGTACTCATACGTATAGTACTATATCTGTTGCCTCCTCTTCATGTTCATGTGGCAGAATCCTTGTTACAACGCCATGTCGCATGTCCTCAGTATGTGGGTGTGTGTATGTGTGTTAGCAACATTACAATATTTTACAAGATTTACTGACCATGTACGTATATTTCAGCTGATGCTCTAAGGTGCCAAGCACTTTTCAAATATAACGTATACGTCAAGTCGCTGGCTGTACAAAAAAATGGAATACTTGTACAATTTTAAACTTAACTTTCTTTTGCTCTTCTAAGCTCTAGCTTAGTGCGCTTTGGAACTACATTATGGAAATTGAATGTTAGTGATATCTGTAGATGTTTGTCGCGCATTCAAATGCAGAAACAAAGACATATGTTGTTAATGATACTTATTTTATTTATATTATCTTGAGTCATGTTTTTCATTTAACAGATTAATACTCGAATTTCCTTATGGAGCTATTCTTATGGCAGCTATAGAACTAGTAGATTTAGAGTAGATTAGTAGATTAATAGTAGTAATTTGATGAATGTCTCATTGGACTGGACCTCGATTTTTTTTTGAGTCCGCTCGACTTTAGCATTCCTTTCTGGTTTTTGTTTAAGAATTAGCGTGGTTCTAACATGGCTCGAAAGCAGGACAACATTTAAGATATCTTAAGACTTTTATAAATTTATTCGAAATATAAGTATGCTAGTAATGTAATTAAATACTCGTATAGCTTTGTTCTTAAAAAACATAAAAATTTCATTACTTATTAATTAAATTAGCTATAAAAGAATTATAGTTATAGAGTTTACAATCAGGCTTTTATTTAACTTTTGTAAATATTTTTGACTAAACAAGAGTTGTTTAATAATTTTATAAAAAATGTTGGGCAATCTGCTAATGCTAAAATGTAGCTAAAAGCTAGGATAAGAAGGCATTTAATAACTGGTTTTTATCAAAATCTTTCTACTTTGGCAACAAAATGATCCGGAAATACATACTTTTCAGCCGATAAAAAGCACCATTTCCATTAATTTAAATAAGAGATTCGCTAGATTTGTGTAGAAAATGCAAATGCATATTCCGAAAATATCCTTTAAGCGCATTAAAGTCGCTGCCATAATATTTTTAAAGTGAAAAATTAAACAGCCGCATTTTCTGAGCCATACTTAGTTGAAGAAGTTGCCTGAGCGACCGGTGCACCTGCCACTGCCACTGCGACTGTGGCTGCTTCTTAAGTCGAAAAATAAATAGAATTTTTAAGTAAATTGAAGTAGCAAACTTATTTGCTGCCAGTCGGCAACGTTGCCAACACTTTTGTTCCAACTTGGCCAGCATAACTCACACGTAAGCCAGACAGGAGGCGAGCTGCAGCCAACAGCCAACAGCCAGCAGGCAAGGGCTGCGAGCCAAGAGGCGAGGAGCAGGCGGGCGACTCACAAAGAATGGTTGGTGGCCACGGCAAAGAAGCCGCAGTGGCTTTGGTGGCACTTTCTACACGCCAAACAACAAATGGTGCACATTACAAGGACCCCAAAGCTACTTACAAAACTGAGAGCGCGCGCACACACACACATAGACATACTTTGTTATCTACAACGCCATCTATGTAAGTGAGAAAGGAGCAGGAAAGGCAGGCGAAGGAGGAGAAGGAGGGGACGTGGACGTGGCAGGGTGCAATCGGAGTGTCTGTGCAACAAGGCGCTGAACTTAAGCAGCGAAGACAAATTTTTATTGCCGCAAGCCAGAGTCGATTTCGATTATTGACTGCAGGCAGCCAAACTGTTGCACACACACACACACACGCACACACACACCCATACGATGGCGAACTGTGCCAAGTAATGGAGGGGAGTTGTGGCAGATTCTCGGTGCCAGGACATGTTGTCGACTCCGGCTGGCTTTGCTTGTCGCGTTCGCTCATTTGAGTCACATTTTATTATTTTCAAGCATTTATCGTATACTGGCTGGCATTTTATTTTATTAGCGTGACATTTCAATTGATAGACCCCGAAGTAGTGTGCTGGGGATGTCGCCAGTGGCGGTGAAGGAGAGAGTGGAAATGTCAAGACAAGACGCCTGTGCATCCTGCCAAATGTATGTCCTCGATTTCGCTCTTCAATGTCTGAATTTGTCTTCAAGTTTGCCAGAGGGATAAGCAGCTGCATCGTAAAGTTAAATTGATCTAAGAAAACTATTAATACAAGTATATAGAGCTATTAAAAAATCGGTGGCATTTCCTGATGTAAAGTATTAGTTAGTTAAGTTAATAGTAGTAGTAAGATAATTTTGGCTTTTCTAAATTTATACACTTTGCTTCGCAGAATATAGAGAAAAGATTGACCGTAATATTAGAATCTGTGAAATGTGTTGCATAATCGCATACCAGATTTTATTTTGGCTAAAAACAATTGGTTCTACCAAAGTTTTACCAAATTTCCCCATATAATATGCAGAAAAGTAAAATAATAGATTGGGCGTAATATGTTGTATATACCCGTAGCTTGTAGCTTGTTTTGTTTAAGAATTAGTTTTTGGAATTGTTTTTATTATATCATACAGAAATATTGGATTCATACTACACTTGCTCTATTTTTTTGTTGATTAAAATGGTTAAAGATAAGTAATTGAAACAATTTGTACACAATTTATTACCATATAAGTTCTTAAAACTAAAGTAATAATTGGAAGTAGTATACATAAATTGTATATTGTGTAAACTCTCTCACCGACGGGCAACTTTTGTCCGTTGAAGAGGACTGTCCACATAAGGTAATACTAAAATACTTAATACACCTAAAGAAAGTTCTAGAAAAAATGCCCGCCCAAGAGATGTGGCCGGATGAAAGCCATTAAGGCAGTTTTTCCGTATGCATACAATGCAGTACAATATTTATCAAACATTTTTGAGAATCCCAGCTAATCTAAAATTTGTTCCACTATGTACATACATACATACATGTAAGTCCACTATGTACATTGTATATCATTTTTATATGATTATATACTTAAAGGTCTGGAAGATAAGAACTATCTTATTCAGTATTAGCTACTTCATCCAGGAGTAGCAACTTTTTTCATACTTTAAGATAATTTGAAATTCGTTTAAACTAAAACAAAGAAATTATACTGTCCGTCATATTCCCAATCTCTCTCAACATATTTTGCATAGTATATCCTTTAATATGAATTACATAGAATCAGTTCCGTTCTGTAATTAAATTTTTGACAGCTCTCAATGGTCTGACTTTTTTTAGTTTCTAAGCAAAGATCAAAAGTTCACACTGCGATGCCAAACGATAGCAAAGTACATACATACGTACATAATTAATTTTTGCAGTCAGCTGCTGGTTTCATGGGTATCGATGTTTTTAGTGATCAGAGTGACCGTAATATTACATATTAATATTATTTCCTCACGTGGTTTCGATTTAATCAGCACATGAAATTAAAAAATGTATTTAAATTTTACCAGCTAATGCATATTTTACAAAGGTTTTTTTTTCCATTTTCAAAATACACGTGCTTTAACCAATAACAATTAGGGGAATACCCCGAAATAATGCATTGTAAGAAAGCACTGATAGGGTTCCTTATAGACGCCCGAAAATATGTATGTATGTATATACTTTCAAAATGATTTGATTCAAACAGTTTTCCCTGGTGTGAATGTATTACCCACGAGCACTTGATTATTCAAAGTCTTGGACAGAACAAGGCATACCTTAATTTAAACATATGCTGATCGTTTTTTGTATACTTGATATAACTTTGTTCTTAGTATTTCATTATTCTTATAACAAATGTTCATATGTATATATTTTTAAATCAAGGGCGGGCACTAACTATAAAACGTATTTCTAGGTGTGCGGGACTTGGAGTATTATTTTTTAAGCACTTGTGCTCGGAATTGCATCTGGCAACGCTGTACCTTAGAGACTGTTCAACACTGTCTGAAAGTTTATGAAGAACAACTAACGCCTTTGAGATTGCTGTCTAAGGTAATATTGTGCGTTGTCATTACATGTATATCAGCTTTACGAACCAAACTTCATTTGAGCAGCACACAAATATCATATAGGCTGTCCGTGTTAAGCACACAAAAAATAAAAAAATCATAAACTAGAAACGAAAAACGCGTAAAAGCGTAGCAAAAAAAGGAAAAGCTTATACAAAACAGACAGGAAAGTAAATCGTACACGCTAGTCAAGTACAACATGGTTTATACCGGCTACGAGACTTACGGGCCCGCTCAGAACGCGCTGATGGTCTATGGAGGGGCCGATGTTGCCGAGGAGCACGGCATGGAGCTGCAGCCTTCGTTTAATCGCGTCATGCGTTTAATTGATTACGAGTTGTGTTTCAAGCATCCCTTGGAGCATAACTGGACTCTGTGGCATTGGGAGAACGATCGCACCAAGTGCTGGACCGATATGTTGAGCGATGTGACCAGCTTCAATACGGTCGAAGACTTCTTTAGGTAAGTGTGAATAGCAGTTCACATCTTCGCATCTGATTAGCATAATTATTTTCATGCAGCGTCTACTACTTTATAAAGCCACCATCTGACTTGAAGATATTCAATGATTATATGGTCTTCAAGGAGGGCATACGGTAGGTCGTAGGTACGAACGTTCTCAATTTCTCTGCTATAATAAATTCTACCTTACTGCAGTCCCATGTGGGAGGATGAGGCTAATAAGGAGGGTGGACGTTGGATAATGATTTTAGATAAGGCTTCCAAAAGTTTCATCGACAAAATGTGGCATGATTTGGTTAGTAAGAAGAAATTATGTTGTTCTCTAATATTTGAGTTGAAACTTGCAACTTTTTCAGCTTTTGTGCATGATTGGCGAGTGCTTTGATTACTCGGAGCAGATTTGCGGTGTGGTCATCAATGTGCGCAACAAAGCCAATAAGATATGTAAGTGATAGCAAAAGAGGTTTTGCCATCAACTCTAAATCTCTCTTGCCCGTCTAATGTAGCCCTTTGGACCAAGGATTCGCGCAATCAGCAGGCTGTGCTTGCCATTGGCCATAAGATGAAGGAGCTGCTCCAACTGGGCGATATGAAAATCCAGTACCAGGTACACAAGGATGCCATGGTCCAGCATGGCCCGAATGTGAATGCCATATATGTTATTTAAAGTGTGTGTGGTCGGACGGACCATAACATATACCGATCATAGATCGGATTTACAGAGATTAGGTTAGGTTTGCTCTACGGCGTTCGTAAATGCTTAGTTCTTCGTTTTATAAATGTCTAGAAATTAGCATATACGATCGTTAGTACTTATATATATTTATAATGCATAATTATGTATTGTTTTATGACTCTTGCTGTGAGCTAACTTACACACATCTATCTAGAACACATGCACACTACATGTACAACACATATGTAAAGCACCTACCTAATATGTAATATGAATAAAGAAAGCATTGCATAAAAGGCAAAACTTTCGGCAAAGACCCCTAAAAGCTCGTTGTCAGTCCACAGCATCATCTCTAAATCCGGTGGACTAACGCACGTACAAGGACCACGTACTTGATGCCACACACATGCAGTGCGTGTGTGTGTGTGTGTGTGTGGGGTACGTGAGTGTGCGGTAGGGATGGGCATTGTTATGCAGAATAATAATATTCGCATAAGTTATTCCGCAAGTTATAGTCACGATGCAGGCCTAGTTCGGCATGAAAATATCAGTCATTTCAGTGATTTGACAAAACCAGATGGATGGTGTAACGTTTTATTGAAGAGTTCCATATATGTTTCCACTAAAGCTTAATCAATGGCAAAATTATATAGTATAGTATAGGACTTGTATTGCATTGACAATAAAAAATCAAATATAGTGATGCAAGGTGAGTCGAATTATCGATTTTGTGTTCTTAGATGTTGTGGATTAAAACATTCGGCTATAAATTCTGATAAAGGTAGCTGCATTGTTTTCGAGCAATCTGTACAATAATAAAATCAATCGGTATACCTTTTTCCGAAACATTTCAGTCGATGAGACAAGATACGGGTCCACGAGTGGTATACGCGATTTGCGAATGACTTTAATGACGACGAATATGTTGGCTACCCAAAATTTGTGATTACCGACGATGCATTAAAAAAGTGGGGGAATTCATAAAAAATCAGTCAAAATCTCTGGCGAATTTCCACAAAATGGAATTGAATATCTCCTAATTAATGAATCAATCTATAATTGTGTCTTCTATGTTGTCAAAAATCTTCCCCTATTCGCCTGATTTGGCTTCGATGGAAAAGTGCTTTTGTTTATGAAAGAAAAGCGTTATAACGACGAGACCATTCAAAGCCTTGATCCATCATTTCGAAGGACATTATATTGAGCTGGAAGGTGATTATTTTGAATAAAATATCAATTCTGCTTATTTTTCAAAAGTCCACTTTACTTTGAAACGCAAGTTGTTTATTTTACATGAGTTTGATGAAAATTTTTTGTACGAAAAATATTGGAATATGCGACAAGGCCGAACTACATATAATGTTACTCAGTATATATTTATTTATTTTGGGGTTGCCTTGAAGTTTCTATAGTTTTTTGTTATAGTTCAAAAAGGAACAACATTTTCAAAAGCTTTTCTTTTTATTAACTTGTTTCATCAAACGATATTTTTCGCAGAGTAACAACATTACTTAAAAACTTTATTACCAGTACCAGTATATCAAAAGGAAGAGCATCTGTAATTTGAACTTATTAGAAAGCGCGTACGTGGCGGCTCAAAATCTGTCCTTCAAAACTATTCTGTCACGTGGCGAGTATATTCGCCAGTAATTTTCTGTGTACGTAGTAAGGATCTGAAGCGCTTCTCTAATTTATTTGATGTGCGTCTGTGTGTGTGTGTGTGTGTGTGTGCAGCCCTTTGCCACTTGAGTGCCGCGCTTAGCTCGGCTTGGCTTACAGACACGTCGCCGTCGTCGACATCCCCACTGCCACTGAGACTTATGCGAGGCTCTCGCTCCGCTTTATGGCGATTATCTTTGCCGCTATAATTTTGGCCATTTTTGTGTGCCAGCGTGCGTGTGTGTGTGTGTCAGAGTGTGTGCGTGCCTGTGGCTGCCCTTAGTGCTTATATATCGTTGCTTTTGTGTTTATGCTTCGTATAGCAAATTGTGACCAATTTATGAAAATACGTTACACGACGTATCCAACGCAGTCCTTCTTCCCCACTGCCTCCCCTACATGGCTAACTGCCAGCACTTGCCTTTGATTTGATTGTTGTAATTTGTAGGGGATTTGACGGTATTTTTTTCGTTTTTCGTTTTTTTGTTTTTTATTGTTTTATTGAATTATGAAGTGTCATTCACAAAATTACAAATACGTGCTACACTTGCAATGTGGAATGGAATGCACTGCAAACCGAGCACGTCCTTCAGCCATTCTATAAATGTATGAGAATATGTTCGAGTGCGGTTTAATAGTTCGGTTTTAATATGAACGAAATTCCATTTCGAAACGAATGCATGCAGTTATTTTTATTGATACGCCAGCTCACGTGCTTTGCTTCCTTCCTCGCCATCGAACAGCGCTCAATCAGCTCTTGGGTTCAGTCTGTGGCTAGCAGGTGACAATTCTAGGCTACTCCTTGGACTGCTCGTAACCTGCAAACATGCTGTCAGCTAGCCATCCAGTCAGCCAGTCAGCCAGTCACCATCACATTCAATTGCCACAGCAAAGTGCAATTTAATAAAAACAAATGCCTAGCAACAAAGCGCAGCACTGCACTAAAAAAAACTGCATAAAAGTTAACTGCCGCATGGGTGCAGTTTTCGAGGTGGTGGTGGCACGAGGAGTGGGAAGAAGCTGTTGCAACACTTTGTTCAGCTAAGCATCGTTCGCTGTTGCGCTGTTGTCCTGTCAGGTGCTAAAAGTGAATACAAAAATGGTTTCGCAAATAAAGCCAAAAGTGTTGCTTGTTGTTGTTGGTTTTTGGTTTTTAAATTAAATACAAGTTTAATTGAAAAAGCCAACCCCGTCTTGTACAGCAGCCTTTAACAGGGGAATGCCAAACTTCTGTCTCAGTCCTTGCTTGCTTGCCATTTTAATTATACGAAAAGCGTAAAATGTTTGACCATTTTCATTGCCTGCGTTTTCTTTCTCTTTTCGTAGATACGCATGTCTCTACGTGTTTGTGTGTATGTTGTTGTGACGAGGGGGAACCGTAAGAGTTCTCAATCGAACCTTTTCATATGCGGTCTTGCAACAATCTAAAATTTTGTAATAATTCATTCTATTTAAATTTAAAAAACAGGCAGTTCCTTAATTTGTTCCTGAACAAATTTTATAGTTACAATTTTCATATTTAAAAGAAATTTTAAAACATTTTTGATTCTTAAAACAAATACCTTTTATAATGGTGTTCTATAATCTATGAATAGAGAAATTTAAATTATAAAATATTTTCTTAAAATTAAAATATATCAAATAAGTATAACATTAAATTAGAAATGTATTTAAAACATTATAAAATATGTATTTTTAAGGTAGAGATATTGATCTAAAAAATATTTAATGATTAGCGTACTAATTTCAAAGTAACCGTATACTTGTAATTCTATGATAGAGATTACACAAATAAAATAAATATATAAAAGTAAGAATGTGATAGAAAGGAAACGGCAGAGAGAAAACTACACAAATTGTTAAGTTCTACCAAATATGGTTATTTTTAAAGAATATTTTAAAATATACAAATCGTTCGATTGAAGCTTCTAAATGAAAGCTTTACCCAATCTCGCTGAAATATAAAGGAAACCGCAGAGGGGAAGCTATACAAATTGTTAGGCTCTACCAAATATTATTATTTTTAAAGAATATTTTAAAATACACAAATCGTTCGATTGAAGCTTCTAAATTAAAGTTTAATCCAATCTCGCTTAAATTCTTTCAACTTTCAACTTAATGGAAATGTTTTTTTGTATGGATGTCATGTTTTTTAAGACGAAATACGTTTATTGTTCACTCGACCCACATACAAGTATGTATGCTAAAAATGTTTGTGTGTTTGTGTGTGTCTGTGTGTGTGTGCTCAATGGCTTGTCTGTTCGTTTGACCAGCGCCGACCACTGTTGCCAATTGTCTTTGGCACGTAAATTTTCTTTGCCAACAAGCACGAAATTGCTTGGCTGTGTTGGTTGTCCCTTCCTTTGGCATTGCAAACAAATTAATTGTTTGTTTTTCGTATAACTTTTTGGTCAGCTTCCCTGCTTGTATCTGCTTTAGCTTCTGGCTCACAACATTGTCACGGTCCTTGTCGTCAAAACAATTTTCAGAGCTCCGTTGCTGTTGTCTTACTTTATTTTGTTGCGTAAATTGCCGCATTTTTCGTACTACTTTTTTTTTTCTGGTACGCTTTCTCTTGGCGTCCCCCGTTTACACCCGCACTTCACACTCAAATTTCGCTTAGCTCATTTGCCCAGAAAATAAAAAGAAGAGGGATAGCATGGCGAACCCACAACAAACTTGGAACGCTTGAATTTCATTTGGCCGCTGCCGCCCACTGCTGTCATAATTCAAATGTAATTTCGGGACCTGGCAGAGGACTACGAACCTTCCCCTGCTGCCGCTCATAATTATTTTTTGATTAAAGATGTTGGCGTCACCGGCGAAAGGCAGTCAACGCCATCATCAACAACAGCAGCCAGCTAGCCAGCCAGCCAGTCAGACGGCCGGTTTGGCATTTTCTACTTTCCCACGCGTTGATTTGCCAACCAACTGTCGAAAATTTATGTAGCATTTTTCATTTACAGCTCGAAGGGGAAATGGACGCTCGTGGATGTCGAGTGGATTTAGTATATTACGCAATTTCAACAAATAAAACCCAACAACAGAAAGACGTAAGAACTATTAAAATCGAATTCTCGATACGCTTCCTAGTTATATAGTATACTCAGGATAATCTCGCTTCAGCATTTCAGCTGAAATGAAGTGTGCATTTCTATATGATATAGTGAGACGATTTGCGTAATACTGCAGATTCGTCCTTATGACAGCTATATGATAAACATAATACAAGTAGATTTTGATTAAACTTGAAAATATCTTGAGGCTCTATACAAAACTTAAATATAGAGATTCTGAAGCAAAGTGAACGCCTATTGATTGACAGCTTTGAGTGCTGATTGAAAGGCAATCGACAATGACATAAAACCAGACATATTTCGAACCCAGAACTTCATGAAAAAGATCTTATCTGATCTTATTATGCGTTGATAAAAGTAATTAAATCTTAGAATGTGAATAAATATATAAATATATATCTTTTTATTATTGTGATATAATCAGCTACAATTGAATATTTGGCTTTGAACAATTAAAAAAACACATGGCAGGAACGCTGACTGCTTAAAGAATCTGAAAAAAGAAAAGGAATATATTCTAAGATCAGAAAATAACAAAATAAATTAAAGACATTTAAATAAACATATTAAGATATATGTTTAGGGGTATAAACAAAATAAGTGTATAAATTGTTTAATTTACTTTGGGTTTTATATTTGAGTGAAGTACGAAATAAAAATAGGTTTTGGATTCAGAAGGATCGTCGTATCAGAAAAAGCCTTAAACTTACATATAAGTGCAAGTCTTTGGTTATGAAGCAATTTGATTAACTGAATCGTTTCATAGAATTAAGATTCCCTTACTTTCTTAATAGCTATGTATATCACTCGGAATATTATGAAATTTCAGAATATTGTGAAGGACTATACTAAACTTTAAAATACCAGATTTTCTTAAAATAAACATAAGCAAAAAAGTCATCTTAGTAGTAATTTTTGCATATATCAATCCAATGCGGTCCAATATTGTTTGTAATATACTTGATGTGCATATAAATAAGAAATGTTCATATACCAAGTACAAGTGAACCTAACTGTTGTAGTTCCAAAGTTGTAGGTGTTCATATGGTCGGACAGATGCTGGTCTTAAATATACTATATAATATTTGGCGCTTAGATTTTCTGCGTAGTAAGTATAGCCGCCTTGACCCTTCGAGAAGAGGGTATAAAAAGCTTCCTTCTTACTTGTAATGTTTGGTTACATTTGGAGCTTGCTTAGGTTATGCCCCCCTCTTGGTTTTGATTTGCTTTGCTGCTGCTGTTCGTTTTTATGACTTTCAAAAAGCGCGATTTTGAAATGTTTATGTTTTTGACTGGCTGAAAATATTTTATGATTGCATTTTGCATAAACATTTTGTGCACGTTGCTCCCCAGGGTATTTAATAGAAAGTGAAATAAAAATGTTTCCATTAAATCGAATTGGTTAGCCCCAGTGGCTGACTATAGTTGATTCAAACCAATCTTTTGAGTTCTTCCTGATGAACCACCACTAAAAAAAAAAAACGGAAATTAAACTGCAAATTTATATACATACATACATATGTATATGTATATACAAAAATTTGTTCGAATGCAATTAAAATAGCGTGCAAATGCAATAATCAATGCTCAATGGCCATTATTCATGTTGTTGCTTGTCGGCATTGGCAACAAATTAATGCTGGGAAGTGCATTTCTCGCGTGTTTTTTACAAAACATATACTTTTTTGCGAAGGAAGTATGACACGTTTGCACAGTTCTTTAATTAATTAAATTATTCTTACAAGTAATTGACAATAAGAAAATAGTAGTCATTTATTTTGAAAAAATAGGATGTACTTTTTAGATCATACAAGGTAATTAATTTTAAGTCGGTCCTAAGGACGTTGTGGGAACTCGTTCTCAAAATTTTGAAACGAAAAGAGGCAATACTGAGGCTTAAAAGGGCATGCCAAATCCGAGGAAGTAACAGTTCACAATTAATATATTTAATTAATTTAAAGTTTATTTAAAGTTGTAATAAGAAATAATATAGTTCAAGAAATGGCATAACTTTCTGATTTTTGAAATCTATTTTTAGCTTGATCTAATAAGGCGAATTATTTTTTGAACGTCCGACTTTTTCCGGGTTTGGCATGCAACACAAGCTACAATATCGAGGAGCCAGGAAACTGTACCGAATTTTCAAATATATGATATACGTAAGATATTCGATTGAAGTTCGTTGCCAAAATTTGTCAATCCACCCTCTACATATTTTTTAAATCGCAAATGCAATAGCATGCATTGGCATTTGATTTGAGCACACTTGGGGGTGCTCTACGTTTGCTTGCCCATGGCAGCTTTAATTGAATCTGTGCCGATATGCATGCATTGTGTATACATATAGTACTGTATACATATATGTATATTTGTATATTTATATATGTACTATATGCTGTGTGTGTGCTTCATTGTATGGCTATACACACTATATTCGCAGATTTTTTGGTCGTTTGAATACGCGAACAAGAATACGAAAAAAATGTAATTGTTAAAACATAAATACAAATTGCATTTGGCTCGCGACATGAAAACGAGAATGAAATCAAAAAAGATTTAAGTGAATGCGTCGCGCACATTTGCATTTAAAAATAATAACAACATAAAAAAGTAGTTAAAAGTTGACAACAATGAAACGAACGAATGGTCCAAAAACAAACAAACAAACAAACAGAGTCCCAAACAACCTGCAGCTCCTGAAACTGTAAACTTTTTCGTATGCTGTCTGTTTAATGCGACCCCACACAGTCCACGGTCCAAAGCCCACCCCCACCCCCATCATCACCTCTTACTACGATTCAGCAACCTTTTTGTTTTGCCAACAATAACAGCAAATTTTTCTAAAATTTCATGTAACGCCCGCACCCTTTACGCCTGCCGCCACCCCTAAAAACACTTAGTATATATGCAGACCAGAACCTTCCCAAGCCATTTGCAATTTAACTTTTTTGGACAGCGGGGCAGGGGGGACAGATAGACAGACAGACACGTAGAGAGCGCACGGCTTTAGTTTTTAGTTGGCTTTTATTAACTTTTGTTTGTTTGTGTGTGTGTGAGAGAGAGTGTGTGGGTGGGTGTGTCTGTGACTGTGTGTGTTTGCTTTTCCACTTATTTTAAGCATAAAAGTTGCACAATTACTGTGATTTGACACTAAGACGACGTCGACATCGCTACTTGCCTGCCTGCTTGTCTGCCTGTCTCCTTTCCTGCCTTCTCCCTTCAAGCATTAAGCTGGCCAATTTACAGTTAACTCAAATTTCGTACAATAACAGCAAACAAAAAATAAAAAACGAAGAATAAATACCAGCAAAGCGGTGACGGACAACTAACCCTTTTTGGCCAAACCAACGCTCGGACGGCTTCATGCGCTCAATTTAACCATTGAGCTGGGACTGTGACCGGTTCGGTGGCGGCTTCAGTGGCTTCCACATTCGAGTCCAGCACAGCCGTCTCCGTGTCCGCGCCCGACCCTGAGGCTTCGGCCTTGCCGTCTTCTTTCATACGCAACATCATCTGAGAGTAGAGTTTCATGCACGCCCGAGCAATGAAATTCAGATGGAAGCCCTTCGACAGCATATCATACATGTCCTTGGCCCTCTGTTGCTGTTCGCATAGTTTTTCCGTACTCTGCTCGTTTAGAACCAGATTTCTTTGATTCGATTGCATTCGATTGATGTGAGAGAAGTTACGAAAGATTTGATGACCCAGTGTCTGTAATAAAAAAGTCAATGGGTTAGCGTTTTAATACAAGTATAGGTCTGAGTCAATATCCAAATATAGTAGATATTATTGAGACGATGTTTTTCTACAATATTTTAGTTCTGCAGATAGTTTTTTCAGAGCATTTTGGTTACGTATCAGTAATGTCCACAAATATAAACGGGAATGCATCGTTTTTATTAAAATAAAAGAAAAAAATTGATTAATTAACATTTAAATAATTTATGGAATTGCAAGTGGAATTTTTCAATTCTGCAAAGAAACAATTTCAAATAGAAGGGCACTAAATCGCGTAATCGCATTTTGGGAACTCTCTCACAGACTCTTCTTAATAAAGCGTAAAAAAATAGAGTACCTGTCCAAAAGTTCAACAATATAATTCTTTCTATAACTACAAAATGTCTTGAACATTTCAGAATAGGATTATTTTAACATAAGGTTTACAATTTCTGGCCAAGAATTTCGATAGTATTAGGAGCACATTTTTCCTTCTAACTCGGCAGCTTCCTTTAATTGAAGTTATAAATTGGAACTGAATTTTACCCAGTTTGGAGAATTTATCGCTTTCAAAAGTTAAATTTATTTGCTTTAAAAAAGACTGGAAATACGAACTGTTGGTGATAAACAGTTTGATTTTGATTAGGAGATTAGTTCGACGCTTTTGACTCTGCTGATGATTTACTTAATTTACAATTTCCTATTAAATCAGTTTAAGATCTTAGTGGACTTCGTTCGAAAAAACAAACGAGTAAAACCTTTCTCAGACTCAGTGCTGTTTCGGGATAATAACTTTCCCTTTTATAAAAACGTTGAAATCAATTAAATAGATAAATTCAAAATGATTTCACTTACTGTGATCAATAGCTCGGACGTTGACATGAGTGGATAAGCCTCGCCTGCGCCCTCAGTGGTCATAGTGAAGCCGAATTTGACAGAAAACGCATTGGCAAATAGGTAGCACTCACGCGACCAGAGCAGTCGATAAAGCAGTTGAATGGCACTTGCCGCACGAATGCGCTGACCAATGTCGACTGAGTGCCATTTTGGCACCAAGACGGCCCAAGCGGCTGCCCTAAAACCCTCCTGTAGACCCACCAGTGAATAGGCGTACCATTTGTAGGACAATCCGTCTGAGGTGGGAGGAACATAGTAATATGAAGGCAATGGCATCTTGCTGCCCTCAAATTCCAGAGCAACCACAAAATCAAAACGTATGCCACACGGGTGTTCCTCCACGTTGCTCTTTTTAAAGGCCTTTATCTGATGCACAAAAGGACACCTGCTCATGCAGAGGGAGTCGTAGCTTAGTTCATAAATAGTGCCTGCACCCATTTCCACAGATCCGATTTGCTGGACAATACGCAACAGCTCGGTCTTCAGCAAGTTGTTAATGCATTTGGAATTAATAAGCTTATTGTAATTAAACGGGTGCGCGATGTTCGTGTTGTGCAGCGTGACTGTGCGCTTCTCCTCATCGAACTCCATCTCCACAGGCAAAGGTAGGTGCATCGGCAGGAAGACTTCAAAGTTGATAGGCAACTCAATATTTTCGCCATTCACAAAGACGGCTGTGGGGAAGGGATTGCTAAAGCTCTAAGCCAACATTGGAAAAGATCCATTCACGTACCTGTGGAATTCAAATTGCTCAGCGAGTTCTTAAAGATGGAATTGTTTTTTAACAATTGTTCTTCAATCCGTCCACATAGGGTGAAAACATCATGAATAAAAGTGCGATGGCTCTTCACATCCGGCGCATACTGGTGCGCCAATTGCCCAATGGATCCTATAAAATCCGATGACTTGGCCTCTTCTGAGTTACTCATATTTCTTAGCTATGGAGTTCACCCTATTCAGTGCGAATAAAATATTAGACAATGTAGTGCAACATGAACAAGTCAGAAGAAGAAGAAGAAGACGAGAAAATCATACTAAGTATGTATGTATATGTGAACATACATGCATATGTGTATATATGTACACCTAATTCTGTTTTTACACGGTAGATAGGTTCCAGAAACAACCGTGTAAAAAAAGACATTGATCATATGCAAAAATTGGAGATTGGTTCCTTATCTCTAAGAAATATATATGAAATTTTTAATTTTTAAACCGTGTTATATCAAAATTGTGTAAAAAAAGGCCGCGTAAAAACAGAATTCGGTGTACATACATAGCTGTAAAGTTTTGCTGTGTAAAGTTTTTATAAATGGAGGTTTGTAATAGCAGATCCATATGCAATGCAGGGGATGAAAAAGGTGAAGCATTTCATATTTTTGTTCTTGCCGACTTTCATAAAATGATTGGCAATAAAATACATTTAAATAAATATAAATAATTGTAATAAGTAATTACGCTTCATGTACAGGGTAGGCATTGCAGTGCTACCAATTTGTGCGTACTTTGCCGCCCATGATCTGATCAATAAATGGCAGCACTGGCATACATTGCACATTAATGTTGCGCCCATGAATGAAGAAACAACACATGCGGAGATGTGCACATTTGCAAATGGCATCCAAATACTACGACTTTTACTACGCGCTGCAAGTGTGGCACGGCTTCTGCGCATTGCCACACAGCATCCACAGCGCAGGAGGCAGGTGACAAAGGACGACAATCATCGAAATGGCTGGCTGGCTGACTGGCTTGCTGGCCAGCGCAATGTGAATTCAGTTGCTGTTCGACGTTGCTTGCGTGCGGTTGTGCCTGGTGCTTGGTAGAGTCTTAGCTTACAGGCCAGTGGAGAGTCGCAATTGATAACGGTACTGATTGAGCAATCAGTTGTTGTGGTTGGGTGTGAGAGTAAAACTCCCACGCCAGTGTAGACAAAAACGTGAGAGCGCCGGCGCCTTGCAGTTGTGTACGAAAGAGCGTGCATGGCCATAAAGTGCAATAGTAAGCCAAACGACGGTAAACGGTAAATGGCAGCGGCAACGTGCATGGCGTATAAATAAAAAATAGAAAGAAGCCGTTGCACATTTTACATATGTACATGCAATCACAACTGTGTGTGTGTGTGTGTGTTTGTAAGTGTAGGTGTTTTGTATACATAAACTGAAAAGTGCAGAAGATTCGTGGAAAAAATAGAGAAGAATAAGAACGTGCGCCGGCTACAGAAACATACCAAGACAACATCAGAAAGTATGCAACGCGCTGGCAAATTTTGTGCTGCTGATAAAGTTATGTGTTGTCTAATGAAAGGCGCTTAGCATCGCGACGTGTGAGCGCCGCCCGTCCGCGCCCTTCCTTCATTCTCCTAACGTTGCATGCGCGCAAATTGAAAATAAATTGAATTGCATTGCAGGCAAACAGCGGCGGCGGCAGAAGCAGCTGAAGAGAACGTGCAAAAAATCAAGGCAGCTGTCAGAGCAGTCTTCAATTTTATTCGTTCTTGTGTAAAGTGGAGTGTTTTTTCGACTAAATTGTATGCAAATGATGTTTGGCTTTATCTTTATGACTAAAAAGTAATGAGTTTATTTGTACGTTCGGGGGCCATATCTGCGTTGTCATTTGAATATAAAATCGTGTTTCAATTGACGTCTGATTGCCAACACTTATGATCTTTACTGAGACTTACGTTTGTTCTACACAACCCCGCCTAGGAATTTTGTATTTAATGCGATTTTCTTTCTTATAAACTTTTCTTTGATATTGCAGTGCCGCTATTTCTATATAATCGCCAATTTTTATTTTGCCAGCTATTGTTTTTATAACCCATACAATTTTGACACTTTACTCTCTAAAGTTATGAACATTTTTCTATGTACTTTTGAAAATATTGAATATTTATGAAAACATTTATTTTTTATAAATATTTGGCATATGATTGTGAAACTGTTTTCAAGGCTTATCAAAAAAAATTAATAATATTAGTGATTTTCAAGGAATGGTGCAGTTAAACATGTTGGTGTTTATCGTCAAAATTTGTTTAGTCTTAATTTTTTTCCAACAGCATTTTCTGTTTTTGGTATTCTTTTTTATGAATTTAATTAAAACTGTTTCTGATTATAAAGTTAGTTAGTGAAGAGAAATACTAAAGTATTAACCGTTTTGAGATCGCGTATTATAATCATAATCGGCAACTGGCACGAATATGTTTGAACATTTTGCTATTTTATTTACAAAATAAGTTGACTTATTGTAGTAATAATATCTAATGAAACATATCGAATGGGGTTAAGCTGTTTATATTAAATAATTATTGTAGCTTTTACAAATAAAAATAAAATACTCGCTTATCCGAAAAATTCTTAAAAGGAACTGTAGAAGTATTCCCTTACTCAATCACCTTCACCCGACATATTCACAAAGCTACTCTATATTGCTTTTAAAAATCTCTGTGTGTTATCTAAAGGTTCTCTAAGCAGTTAAAAATGCAGCAAGCTGAGCGTCGGCTTTTCTTGTTTTACTTAGGGCCGTTCGTTCATGGGTGACTTTTATAATCGCAAATACCTAGAAAATGATTAAAGACAAATTTATTTCATTTAATAAATTTGATATTCCTATAAAAATAGATAAATGTTATGTTTAAAAGATGAATCCAAATATTTTATTATAATATTGAAATAATATTTTATTCATGACATAATCGACAAATTCGAAAAAATGTGTATAAATTATTTTTATGTTGACCACTCTTTAATAATTTAAACGATAAAATATAACAATTTTATGCCATTTATTGTGTGGTAAGGTGTTTGGCATCCTAATAATAAGTATGAGAACTTTATCCAATTTAATTATAAAATAATAAGCTCTCATAAATATCTAAGTGTTTACTAAAGTAGTCAATTGTATTGTGCAAGTGCACTTTATAATTATCAATGTGAACGTATTGGTTATTAAGTTGAAATTTAATCTTAATTAAGTCGTAAGACTACCGTAGAACCATAGTTACGATATGTGGCCTTCATATTTCCTTTTAATTCTATATCGAGAAAATCAACTTACTGTAGCCAACGTAGATCAATACTGAAATGAATACCTCTTGTATCTAGTATGTTGTTTTATATTATATTTTATTTATCCCAAAATAGCTTTCCAAGTGTACATATTTATGGCTAAAATTTCATCTTTCTTGCTTTGTAATGAAATTAACTTTAGCTTCATTATGACACTTATCGATATAATTGCAATTATTTGCTCATTATGACGACTCCTTTCATCATTTATTAAACGTCTGTTCTATTTTGGAACAACATCTCGAAATCCCATCTCCCCCAAGTACTTCTTATTTATGTACAAGTGGGCCTAAAAGCATTCTGCATTGTTCACTGCCAGTGTCCTGTAGTACACATACTATATATAGGTACTATATATGATATACATATAAACGTATAATGGTGTGCTGTGTGCTCATCAATAACGCATATCCCTGGCCCTATGTAGAGGGTACACACATACATACATACATGTACTACACTCACATATGTATGTGAGCTGTTTGCGCGTGTATGCCATTAAGTGGCCGTACTGAATGCCTTCCTCTTGAACAGCCCCAACTCCTCTCATGCATACACACCCTGCCAGCAAATTGAAGACACGTTTAGCGACGCTTTCAACCTTTCTTTCGTTTTATTTTATTCAGCTCCTGCCTATGCACACACGTACGAAACGTGGCTGTTGCCTTCATCTTCGTCCCCATCTCTTGCAGTCAACCTTTTTGTAATTGCTGCTTAATTGTTTGACATTTTCGTTGAAACACACCCTCGACTGCCTTGCCCCAACTGTGAGTTTTTATTTCTTTATTTCAGAACATGTGCCTCTTCACAACCAACAACCAACATACGACCACGCGCCTTTGTTTGTGTATGGAATTTTTAATTTCTTTCTTCTCAGGCAGTCGTAGTTGTGTCTTCTGTGCAATTAGTCTCAGACTTAGCTCTGTGTAATTGCCAGCAGCCTCTAAGTGACTTATTTGCTGCAATTGAGCGCAGCTACCAAGTGCCAAAATCCTCTTGCGTTCATGCCACGCATTATGCCTTTATCGGGCATATGCCGGTTACCATTCCATGCCACATAAATAATGCTTTAAACCGGCCGGCATAAAAAGAAAACAGGGATAGACAGAGAAACAGAGAGAGATGCACAGAGAGAGAGTGCAGCAGCAGCAGCATTGAGAACGTTGCCTATTGATTTTATGAACGTGCAGCATCATGTGTATATGTATATATAAGTTTATATGTATGTACATGCAACTATTTCGACGCTTGCAACACAAACTATAAATCTGTCTGCGAGCATGTAGAGCTACTATATGGGATGCTGTTGTTTCTTTAGTTGTTGTTGTGAAATTTATCGATTACCGCATACACACAGCAATGCCCGAAGTTGCATGACATCGCTTGACATCGCTCCTTTATCGTTGGGGCATTGTGTAGTAAAAATTTCTCGTATTTCATGCAACACCCAAAAATACGCATACGCATGCCGCACCGGAAGTGACCAATGCACACACGCATACACGCGCGCCCGACCACATGAACACGCACATACATGCACACAAAATGGCTGCCATAGTGCGTAGTAGTTGTTGTCGTTGTAGTAATAGTAGCGAAGCTGCAAAACAGCCGGCGCAATGCCCGATAAATGGATTGGTTTATTTAAATTTTCGTGCACACATGTGATGTCCGCCCATTTGGCCAGCTGTCCCTATATTTTGTCTGTAGTACAGCTATATGTATATATGTATGTATATACATATATACACATACGCCTATTTACTGCCCAGTTACTACAACTACAATAGTGGCGGTTACTGCGACGTCAGCTGAAACGTTAACTGCGGCAGCGACAGCAAACGGCGACACGTTTTCGGCTCCTTTTGTTGTTGATATTATTGCTGTTGTTGTTATTGTTGTTGTTTTGGCCCTTTTCGGGCACTACTATATACACATTGACTGTCGGCAGCATATGTCCGTTTCTATATATACATATGTATGTATGTATGTGTGTGTGTGTGTGTATACTATACGCTCTCAACTAGCCGGCTTGTATTGTAGATATGCGTGTACGCAATAATTCCCATTAACCCGTTCGCGTTCGCGAGTCAGAGTTTAAATTCCAGAATGAAATTATGGCTTAAATAGTATGTCTATGTGTATATTTTCTCTACTTTTTTTTACTGCCTGAAGTGGTTTAATTACTTTACATTATTAAATAACTTATTAGAAATATAATATGCATTCGATTTATCCAAAGATAAAGTCTTATGTTTTTCATAAAAGTTTAAAAAGCTTCCAAGTTTCAGCTTGACTACAATTTCTGTAATATTTCATTTCTTTAACAGTATAAATCTGACTTTAATAAGTAAATATAATATTTCTGAAAATATTGCAGTTTTCAAATAATACATTTAAATCTAATTTGAGGATATAATATTAACTATGCTCTAAGCTTATGCTAGATCTATTATTCAATTTTAAAAAAAATCCTTAGACATCTATATTTGTTAATAATAATAATGTTAAATTTTAATAATGTTAAATTTTAATATTGTTAACAAGTTTTCAAGTTTGTTAATCAATTCATTGCTCTGTCCTATATTTCACATTACGTTTTTTAATCAAAATGAGCAAGGCAACAGTTTTGTAAAGAATTAGTAATACTTTATTTGAAATTGTCTCAATTTTCTTCCGCTACTTGGGTGTAGATTTCAAAATGAAGCAAACCGCTTTTTGCTTTTGCATTTGACTTTAATTAATTACAAGTTTCACTTTTTGTATTTGTTTTTCTATTTTATTTTTACCCGCATTGTGTCTTTGATCGGGTCGAGTTGCTTGAGTAAAGTTGTTTTTTTTTACAACACATATATTTTGTTGTTGTTGCACAGAAACCGAGCGACCCTAATCCATCATTTGCCACAGAAGTCACGTACATGTGGCAGAGTCGCGAGTCGTGCGCTTGAAAAGGAAATTTCCACGCGGAAGTTGTGCAACTTTAACGTGCACAGAAACGAACATACGCACATATACACACACAGACAAAGTTTGCTGTTGCCTGCCAGCGAAACTTTTCCCCGCTCCTCTCTATGCGGCGCTTGTTTTTCTGTTGTAACAAATTAAGAAATCACTTTCGCCTAGACGCCACCCATGCTGCTCAAAAGCAAAGTTGCAAAGCAGTACAGCTGCATGCCAACGGTAAAATATGTAAGCTTACACATACAGATGCAATGCTGCAGGCGCCTTGAAGCATGCTATAGTTTTTGTTGTTTTTCGTTCCAAGGCGAAGACGCCGCTGACGACGATTGCAAACGCAATTGCCTGTCAGCGCTCGGCCCCAAGCAAGCTTTACCCGCTATCTTTGGATAAAGAGAACTAAAATTCCTCTTTTTATCTATTGTAGGCATTGCTAAAAGCAAGAACAACATCATAAGAGGTGGGGGCGAGAAATTTTAGAGGAACAAATTTAACAAATTTATTGAAACAAAATTATATTTAATAACTTTTTCTTGGAATTTAGACTCTATTGATTCCTTTCCTTTCTCGGAGAAATTAATAAACATTAATGAGATGTCTTTAGAAATGGCTATTCAGTGGAAATGGATTTAGCCCCCACTGCTATTGACTTAAAATAAGAATATTATAAATACATCTTCAACTTCAATCGAGTCCTTGATTTTTCAACTTAATATACTAATATATACTCTTTGATTTATGAACCAAATTGCATTTTATGGTTATCTTTTATATTTATATTTGTTTTCGTATACTAATATATTGCA